GCCTACGCACGCTATAGTTTCTCCAGTGGTAGGGCCTGTAATGCAGCCTAAAACATGGCCATCTCTGCCTGGCGCTGAGTGTAGGCTGCTGCGTATCCTCCAGTCACTAACCCCCTTCAACCTTCGGTTCTCTGTGCTCTGCCCTCCACCTCCACTGTTACCCCCAGACCAGGAGAGGAAGCACGGGGCTGGTGTGCTGGCAGTGCGAGCATGAGTGTGTGTAACTGTGTGTGTGTGTGTGTGTGTGTGTGCACATATGTGAGTGGGATTGAGGGATGAAGGCCATGACTAGTTCGGAATGTTCCAGAATGTGCGGTTGGAAAGTTTGAGCTGGGAAAAAAGACGAGGAGAAACATGGGTGAAGGGAACAAGACCTTATTGACAGGGCTCGCTCACTCACTTACCAACACACACACACACACACACACACACACACACACACACACACACACACAGATTTAACATCAGCCTTAAGACCCTGATTTGAGGTTACACCTAATGGTCCCAGGCGTCTGCGTTCAGCTACAACATGCAGGTTTTAGGACAGTTGTGTTTCCACACCATGAAAGAGTTTGAGTTTTTTTGACCACCTGTTTTTAATCAGCAGTGATAAAAAGGTCATTTGCTTTATGACACAGTCACAGCGTTACAGTGTTTAAACTGGGATTCTCTGAAAAACTATGGCCAGTTATTCAGCTGAATGGCGTTAGTTTCCAGTTCAGGGCTTCGTTCTCCACTTGTCTAGTTTTGTAACAGTAAAGATTATTGTATTTTTTTGTTTTGTTTTTTTTTGTTTGTTTTTTTTTCATTTGGCTGTTTTTATGACTTACTATATCACATTAATAGGCAATTAATCATTTTAAGGGCTGTAACATATTTTGACCTGATGGCACAGACTAAAGATGTAATAACTTTGAAATTATCTTACATAACCAGATATTTTATTTATTTTTTTTATTTGTTACAGCCAAATATGTGCATATATCTGTTGCTGGTTAGTTACCCCATACATAGGTAGTCGGTTTAGGTTCTCCTCGGCCTATAGAGAAAATCGATCTCTTAAGAGTTAGTTCCACTTGTTGATATTTTAACCCAGACTTGGGCAGTGCATGTTTTATCATATTTTGCTTGTGCTGCTGTGATTTAGTCAACAAAAGAAAGTCTTATCAGTAAAACTCTAAACTAGAGATGACAATATTTTTAATATTGCAATAGAAAAATGTGTTACAGTGGAGGTAATGTGATGGTTTCTACTAGGAAGTTACATATGTTTATTTCTGACATGTAACACAGCCAAAAAATCTCCACAATCTGCTGCACATGATCCATTCATGTCTGTGGCAGCTGCTTTAGACTGTATGAGCTTTCTCTCCGATTACGCTGACCAGTGGAAGTGAGGGTACCGATGGATGTTGTCCGATGTCATGTGAAAAGGCTCTAGTGCTGTTTATCACCAAGAGTTTGGCAAAGCATCAGTGAATTTTAGGAACTTATTGTTTGCAATAATAATACTGACAAGTGATTTATTAGTTTCCTCAATACATTTTTTTCTTTCATGTTTTTTAATATTGATAAATATCGTATTGTGGCCATATAATGTACTGTGATTACATTTTTTTTTGGTATTGTTACATCCCTGCTCTAAACCATGTGCTGTAACCGGTATTAATTTTGTCATCTCCTGTCTTTTCAGGATGGCTCCTACCTTGCTGAGTTCCTGCTTGCTAAAGGTTACGAGGTGAGAGAGAAACCCAGGCTTCTGGCTTAACAGTACCAAGAATCTGTTCCTCCGAAGCTTACGCATGCATGCACGCACGCACATACAAAAATCCAGACACTCATGAGTGCCAACATACACAGACACACGGAGTGACATTCCCTCGATAAGCAGCATCCAGTCACAGCAGTGTGTGGGAGCTCTGGAGAGATTGTGACGTAATGTGGCAGTCGGCTTCAAATGCAGACTGACTCACCCCTCACCCTGATAAGACCCTTTGTGTTGCTTTAAGCCTGTTAACCCCTACCTTTTTACCGCTGGGCCACTCCTTTAACAGAGAAGTGGCTGTTACTGTACGACCATATGAGTGAGCGACTCGGACCTGCTGCACGATGTGCCTTCAGGAGCACAGCACAGCTACAGCATGTGGTTGGATGGATTTAACAAGCTGTTTCTGACTGACTGAGGCTGCTTTTAATCCCTGAGAAGCCTATACATTTAGCCCACTTGCATAAACATGTTGCACCAGGGCTCATTGTGTGTTCCATGCAGTAGCTGCATAACTTCATTTTCCCACAGATGCGTAGCAGAAACACACAAACGCACACCTTTATTGCAGCTTTGCCATCTGCTGCCTGCCTGAGAGACAGCAGAGAGGAAGTGGACTAGTTCCAGGTGGGGGATGCTGATGTGGTTGGGGAGGGGGCGGCGGTATTAAAGAGGAGTACACAGGCAGGCAGGAAGTGCACAGTGAATAAAGGAAGTAAGGTCGGGGCACAGCGGCCTCCCACTAATGGACTCCCCTTGGATCAGGTCCTGTTATCTTCCCTGAGCAGAGCTTCCTCACATCCACCCCCAGAACATGGAGTACAGATCACAGATCAGAGGCAGCATTAAAAACACAGCGAGCTGGAGCCATGAGAGACAATGTTGTTCGATCAACTTGTGCTATACAAAATGTTGTATGGATAAGAACCACTTTGTATGAAGTAAAGAAGGAAATGCTTTATCATGAAAAAAGGTCGACACTAAATCAGTAAAAACAAAATGAATCTATAAAAATGACATTTTAAATTGAATTATTTATGTAAAATACCCTTAACATGACAAATGACGGAGAGAGTTGGTTGCGTCATTTGTATCTAGCCCTCAAATGTAAAATGAGCCTGGATGAACATGGATTTATATTAAAGCCAGGACTGTATCAAGACTGTATTTTGTGCATTAAATGAACATGTTTTCTGTTACTGTCCCACTTTAGCAGGAAACATTTCTAACAGGCTTGACATCATTGACACAAGAAAAGCTTCTGCTAATCATGAATATGTGTGCTGGAGGTTTGAGAGTGACTGTTTTTACTGTCCTATTTCATTTTATAAAACTGATTCACAGGCAAAAATGTGATGCAGAATTTCCAAATATTAATGACTGTCATCTTCTAACCTTGGTTTAAAAGCTTAACCTGACTTAGAGGGACTATAACTCAACCTTTCCTTGCAGCTGGTTCAAAGAGAGTCCCATAATACTTTTCTTGATTGGAAAGCTTTTACTGTGAAGCAGCCGTTGGCATATTTCAGAAATGGATAGAAGATTGTCAGTTGGCTAAAATGTAAGCTTGGGGAGCATGTAAAGGTCATTTTTCATAATAAGAAGAATAAGAAAAATGCGTTATACAAACAATTCATTAAGGACAGATCAAAGAATGCGGAAGAAAAATATAAGTCATATAAGAACAAATTAACTGAGATTTTGAGGAGATGTAAGAAACTATATTACTCTAAAATATTAGAGGATAATAAAAATAACATGAGAGGTACTTGGAATATATTAAATAAATTGATTAGAAACAGTTCTAGAAAGAGTAACTACCC